CTCCATAAGTGGAAATGGCGCAAGTCCCATGCAAAGTCCGTAGACTTACGCCCTTTTCACTTTTCAGTAGTGAGATATCCACCCCTACCCCCTATTCCTTACCCCCTTTCTCGTGGTTCCCACGCGTGGAGTGGACCGAAATGAATCAATAACGCAGCCCAGTAGATTTGTGGCGGACGCCCGCGTCAGTCAAAAACTGGCCGAGAGGGACGACAGTCTATGTTTTTGTGCAAGACCCCGGGCCTTTTGCCTTGTGGCGACTCGCGGTCGAAAATAAAACCCCCTCCCTCTTCTTGCCTTACGTACACAACACATGTACGCAAAACCGAGCGGCACGACGGTGTCACGGCATCATAATGGGAAACATTCCCCGGGGCATGTGTGGTGGCCGCCGCCGCTGCCATGGGAGAGCTGTGGCTACGAATTTCTGCGAGACGGAGAGGGGCAGTGCAGCTGGGCGTAGGCGAGTGAGAGAAGCAGAGAGAGAGAGAGGGGGGGGGAAAGAGAGAGTGTGTGTGTGTGTGAGAGAGAGAGAGAGAGAGAGAGAGAGAGAGAGAGAGAGAGACGTAGGACGTAGAGAAAGGGGATGAGACCGGGGGAGGGGGGGGGCGAGGAGTGTCACAATGTTGGTAACTTATGAGCGCTGGCGCGGGCCGGCCGGCTCCTCGGCGGACAATGAGGCCAACGGGTGTCGGCATCAACGCATTTTCGACGGAGCGCGAGGGAGGATAAACAGAATGCTCGCTTAAATAAAGGCTGACATCTGGCGGCGCCGGCGGTGGCGATGGCTGAGCGCGCGCCGGGCCGGCGCCGGGCCGCGGGGCCGCCGCAGCTGCACGACTGTAGGGATTCTGCGAAACACACAGCTGCAGGTGGCGGGGCGTGGCGCCGCCTCTTGTCTGCCAATGTCGCGGCCCTGCAGAGCGGTATAGGTTATGTGAAAAACACGGCAGCTGCAGGTGGCGGGGCGTATGGCGCCGCCTCTTGTCTGCCAATGTCGGGCGGCATAGGTTATGCCATAACCGTTATGGGAAGTCCCCCTCGGTCCTCCTTCCTCTTCCTACACGTCTCCGGCGCGTGTCGTTCGGAATACACAGATATTGTAAACTTTCTCGCGGCTAACAATAGAACACCCCGCGGCGGCGCTGGCCGGGGGCGTGATTCGGCGACAAACGCGGCCCACAAGTTGCATGCATACACACTATACATCCTGCCTCCGCCTCCGCCTCCCCCAGCCGTCCACGGCCAGCACGTCACCACTGCCCGCGACACCAGAGTACTATATAACAGCCCCGACGCGGACCTACCCGCGCGCTCGTAAATCGCACACATGCGTCCTTCGAAAGGTAGGTGAGGCAAGGCAGAATGGCGCAAACTACACTACACGGCGGCAATGAGAGTGCGCGGTTTCGTTCGGGGCTCGCGCAGAGCGCTTTGCACAGGGATCACCCATGGAGTACGTCCGACAGTCGCCGGTACGACACTTGTCAAGTTCGGCAGGGGCAATAAGCTCTCATAGCGCCCGATGGGTAGGCAACATCTTGTCTGCAGTGCACCCGTGTGTTGCTTGGTGGCCTACCCCGAGTCTCGCAGGCGCTGAGCTCCACTACAATTTGCCGAATGAATCTGATGAAACGGTCCTCCTTTTTTGGACGATCGTTTCGCGCGCGTCCATCGGGAGGCTGCACACGTGCGGGCATTCAGCGAGGAAGTATTACCTCGGTTATTTCTGCTTGGCGTTAGGCAACACCCCGTGTTGTGCAGTGTGCCCCCTAAGTTTAAAGGGGTTGGGGTTGCGCGGGTCGCTCTGTTTTTAAGTTTTAAGTGCTGGTAGTAGCGCTTTGCGGCGGCGGTGGTGGCCTTTGCGCCCGCGCCAGCCAGGGCGGCGGCACCCGCCCTCGCCCTCGCGCGCCAGCATCATAGCGTCCCGGTCCTCCTGCGCATTTGCAACTTTGCGGGTAGAAACTGAGCGGTGGAGGAATGCATCAGAGTCGTTCGTTGTAATGTGGTGAGATACAGGGTGCACTGGTAAAACAAAGGTGCCAAGTCGTGCCTTCCTGGGGCACTAAATTTTCAGTATAGTGCCTCACAAAGGCAGGGCACTAAATTGCCCCAAAGGTGCTAAAATTAGTGTCTTTGGCAGTTTTAGTGCCTTTGTAAAGGTGTCTTTGTAAAGACACCACACTCCTAGTGCCTTTTAAAGGTAGGAGTTAGCACCTTTGTTTTTCCAGTGTGGCCCCAAACATATACTGCTTGCCTGCATGCGAATTATGTGCCATGCCATGCCATGCCATGCCATGCCACCCGAAATCGGCAAACCCGCGACTTTATGGGTATTCGCAGCCTTGACACATGCGGTACGTACGCCAGTTCTTACGTGAGCGGTTTGGCCAGGGCGGGCGAGCGCGCGGGGGGGCGTCTTGGCCACCCGTAAGACCTGGCCAAAAGAGCGTGATGGCCGCTCGGCTACTAGAGGGAGAAGGGAAAGGAGGGGGGGGGGCGTCCCATGCACGGCAGGCCTACAGGGGGGCAATTTGTGGGGGGCCGGGGCCGGGAGTCACACTGGGCTCCACGCCAGGCTGTATCGCGGAACAGGCGCGGGCTGGGGGGCCGAGGGCGTCTGGCCCGGGCTCATCTTTCTCGCCTCGAAAGCCACCACCTGTGCGCCGGCTTTGTTTGTTACGCGAGCCGCGGGACATCTGGCCAGTCCGTCACCGCCGCGCACCACACCCCTCACGCACCCCTACCTCGTCCCCACCACGCCCCACCACACCCCACCACGCCCCGCCCCACCTCGCCCCCGGCCGCACGACGGTGCACCTTGCGGACTAAAATTCAGGGTCGCGTAAAGCGGCACGTCCGTCTTCCCGCGCTCGACCACCCCGTACCCCCGCCTGTGAGTGAAAGTTGGTATAGTGCGGGAGGAACTGCACTACCCCCGCAGCCAACTTTGATATAGGAAGGAGGTATGGTGTTGTTTCAGGACAGTGTGGCGTTCCAGTAGAGCGCACCCAGGTTCTAATACCAGCCTCACGGTATACCGTCTCATTTTCGCGCTGCTTCTTTATTTCTTTCTGACAGTGCCGCCACACGGTAATGGACAAAGTGATTGGCATTCGGCTGTGCCGCTCTGGCCAGGGCCCCA